TCACCCCGGACCCGCGGCCGCCCCTCACCCCGGGCCCGAGCCCCTCACCCCGGACCCGAGCCCCTCACCCCGGGCCCGAGCCCCTCACCCCGGACCCGAGCCCCTCACCCCGGGCCCGAGCCCCTCACCCCGGACCCGAGCCCCTCACCCCGGACCCGAGCCCCTCACCCCGGTCCCGCGGCCGCCCCTCACCCCGGTCCCGCGGCCGCCCCTCACCCCGGTCCCGCGGCCGCCCCTCACCCCGGTCCCGCGGCCGCCCCTCACCCCGGGCCCGAGCCCCTCACCCCGGACCCGAGCCCCTCACCCCGGACCCGCGGCCCTCACCCCGGGCCCGAGCCCCTCACCCCGGACCCGCGGCCGCCCCTCACCCCGGACCCGAGCCCTCACCCCGGACCCGAGCCCCTCACCCCGGGCCCGAGCCCCGAGCCCCGGGCCCGAGCCCCTCACCCCGGACCCGAGCCCCTCACCCCGGACCCGAGCCCCTCACCCCGGACCCGAGCCCCTCACCCCGGACCCGAGCCCCTCACCCCGGTCCCGCGGCCGCCCCTCACCCCGGGCCCGAGCCCCTCACCCCGGGCCCGAGCCCCTCACCCCGGGCCCGAGCCCCTCACCCCGGACCCGAGCCCCTCACCCCGGGCCCGAGCCCCTCACCCCGGACCCGAGCCCCTCACCCCGGGCCCGAGCCCCTCACCCCGGGCCCGTGCCCCCCACCCCGGGCCCGTGCCCCCCACCCCGGGCCCGAGCCCCCCACCCCGGGCCCGAGCCCCCCACCCCGGGCCCGCGCCCCCCACCCCGGACCCGAGCCCCTCACCCCGGACCCGAGCCCCTCACCCCGGACCCGAGCCCCTCACCCCGGACCCGAGCCCCTCACCCCGGACCCGAGCCCCTCACCCCGGACCCGAGCCCCTCACCCCGGACCCGCGGCCGCCCTCACTCCGGACCCGAGCCCCTCACCCCGGACCCGTGCCCCTCACCCCGGGCCCGAGCCCCTCACCCGGGGCCCGAGCCCCTCACCCTGAGCCCGCGCCCCTCACCCCGGGCTCCCTCCGCGGGGTTCCCCGGAGAGCAGCCGCACCCCGGGGCCTGCGGCCTGGGAGGGAGCGGCCGGCCTCTGCTGACCCCCAAGTTCGGGTTTCAGTCCGCGTGGCTCTCCTCAGAGGCTGGTGTCCCTGTGATGTCTGCCCCCTCCGCCGTCCGAAGCGGGGCGGGCGCCCAGCGCAGCGCAGTACCGGCTCCAGCAGGCCTGAGCCGTCAGCTGGGCCTTGTGAGGACACTGCATGGCTGCACTGGACTGGGCATCGGGACATTCACTGGGAGGTGACCGGGACCAGCATTCCCCAATACACCCCCTACGTGTGACAGGTGTGACAGGCCGGTGTTCCTCCCCACGGTACACACCTCTGTGTGTGACAGGCCGGTGTTCCTCCCCCATAGTAGATGGGCCTTCCTCGTTGGAGACGGCAACTTTTCTCACTAGTGACCCGATGAGAGTGAGTGTCAAGCACATTGAGTCGTATGTAGCTTGTCCGGGAAGGAAGCCAATGGTCGGCTGCCCTAACATCCGCTCCGAGTGTCTGCACGGCTGCTTCCTGCCTGCTGACTCCTCTCCCAGCGGCTCTCTTGTCTGTTTCTCAGAATCCAGGACCACAGATGTTTTTAGGGTCACGTACGTGCCCTTCAGCTGAGTACAAGTCAAATGGTTAAGCCATGCAGGAGGGGTACTCCCCCTGCCACACACACGCATGTGAGCTGTGTGTCTGACAGTGTGTGAGCTACGTGTCTGTGTGAGCTGTGTGTCTAGCTGCAAGTGTGAGCTGAGTGTCTAACTGCAAATGTGAGCTGCGTGTCTAACTGCAAGTGTGAGCTGCGTGTCTGACAATGTGTGAGCTGCGTGTCTGACTGTGACCTGTGTGTCTGTGTGTCTAACTGCAAGTGTGAGTTGTGTGTCTGTGTGTGAGCTGTGTGTGTAACTGCAAGTGTGAACTGCGTGTCTGACAATGTGTGAGCTGCGTGTCTGACTGTGTAAGCTGCGTGTCTGTGTGTGGCTGCGTGTCTGACCGAGTGGTCTGCGTGTGTAAGCTGTGTGTTTGGCTGCGTGTGTGGCTGCGTGTCTGACCGAGTGGTCTATGTGTGTGAGCTGCGTGTCTGGCTGTGCTCATGTGGTCTGCAGCGGGCAGGTGCAGCTCTCCTGTCTGTTCTGGATGAGGTAGCTGCACAGGCCTGCCAGCCGGGTGGGGCGCCTGGGGGGGGGCAGTCTTCTTCCATGCCTGTCATGCTGACAGTGCATGTTGAACCTTTTCCTTTCAGCTATGAAGAGGTTCTTGGCCCTGGGGCCTGCTCCCTGCTCTCTGCTCTGGCTGTCTCTGGCCCTGGCCCTGTGCAGTGACGCCCACAGGCAAGGGCGTCTGCTGTGCCTGCAGCATGGGTCTCTGATGGAGCTGCGGTGCCCAGGCCCGCTGGCATCTGGGCTTTCTGAGCGCTGGAGCAGCCTCACACTTGACACCAGGGCTTGAGCAAGTGTAATTGACAGCTTGTTATAATTGAGCTGATTGGCAGATGGTTCTGTCACTCTTGAGGCCCCATCTGACAGGGTCCTGCCAGGCTGGACCTCCGTGCTCCCTCAGACAGGAAGCTGTGCCTTTGACCAAATCATTCCCAGTCTTTCCAGAGATGCCTAAGTGCTTGTTTAAGACGTGACAGTTGACTCACAACCACCACTGGATGGGAAGGGTGTGACAGCTCTCGTTTGTGGTGATGGAAAGGCAGGGCGATGCGGTCCGAGTGGGGTGGCCTGCTTGAGGTGGGTTCTTCCAGAGCCTGTGCCTTTGGCCATGCAGTGCAGCCCGGTGCCCGGGGCCTCCAGACCCACGTGTAGTGGGGACGTCTGCTGGCTGTCAGACAGATTGGTCCAGCCTTAAGTCTGTAATGTGTAAAGCTGATTAACCCCATTCTCAGGCTGTGGGGAGGGGTGTGGAGGAGAGGCACAGGGGCTGCACCCACCCTGGGGCCAGAGCCTGGTGCTTCCACGCAGCTGTCGGGTTGCTGGGATGGCGGGTGATGCTGCCGTGTGTTTTCCCTGATCAGTAGCCTCTGCTCAGGACCTGGGCTCGCTCACCTCAGAGCCCTAAAGGTGCCTGGCTCAGCACCGGGTAGGGCGGAGGAGGGGCGCATGCACTTAGCCATTTTAGGGGTGTAAAAGACTGGGCCAAGGAGATTAAACTTTATTTTTGGAAGTGACCAGGAGCAGAACAGACTGTATGACATAATGAGATTTCCATCTTAGAAGATTAATTCCTTTGAAAATGGAAGTGTGGCTCAAGTGGTAGAACACCAGCCTTGAACGAAAAAGCCAAATGAGAGCACGAAGCCCTGGGTTTGAGCCCTAGCACTGGCAGAGGAGGGGAGAGGCAGGAGAGGGATTGGAGAGAGGGACAGGGAGAAGGAGAGGAAGAGGGGAAGGGAAGGAGGGGGAGGAGAGGAGTAACTCCTGTGCATGGCTGCACACTCAATGAGCTGAGGCAGACCTGGACAGGCACCAGGCACCGGGCAGGCACCGGCTGGGCACTGTGGCTGCTCCCAGAGGAGACGGTGGCCAGGCTCCTTGCTGTGTGATGCAGATAGCACTTGGCAGGAGATTCTGTCAGGAAGATCACAGTGACATGGGCACCAGTTAACATCGTATATCTGCTGCGGTCCGATTTCTTGCTGTGATTGTGTGGGTGTGTATGAGGCCTCTGCAGGGAGATATGGGGCGGCCCTGGGCCATTTGAGGTGTGGGGTTAGGAAGATTGCTGGGTGAGGCCTGAGCTGCAGGTCACTGCTGGGGACGGTTGGCTCAGGCCGCAGCTCGGGAGTCCCTGGGGGACCAGTGCCTCTGGTCCGGTCTTCCTCAACAGGCCAGGCAGCCCTGGCTGTGCTGCTGGTTCTGTCTGTGTGCCAGCGCCAGGGCTTGAACTCGGCCTGCACACTGTTCCATAGCTTTTTCTGCTCAAGGCTGCTTGCTTTGAGCCACGGCTCCACTTTTAGCTTTTCGGTAGTTTATCGGAGATGGTGCTCATGACTTTCCTGCCCAGGCCACTTTGAATCATGATCCTCAGACCTCAGCCTCCTGAGGAGCTAGGATTATAGGCGTGAGCCACCAGCGCCCAGCTTGACCTGACTTTTATACCCCGCCTGCACACAGCCTGGCTATGTGCCCAGCGGGCGGTGTCCAGCACTGGCAGCCTCAGGACAACTTGTGTGGCTTGTGTATGGAAACCAGCACCTCTGAGTTGATGACGTAACAAGCACCGTGTCTGGTGCTCGCATTTCCTGCCCTCAGGTGTGGGACGGCCGCACTGGTCTGTCTGCAGCAGATCCAGAGACAAAGACCTAAGTTTTTACTGACTGGTCAGCGGGAAGTTTAACAGTCATTTTATGATGCTCATTTTTTTTGGGGGGGGGGGCTAGTTTATGGTGCCGGATTCAGACCCCTTTATTTCTATCATCTTACCCAACCACTAGTCCATAATGGATTGACAGACAGACGTTGACTCCTGCAGAGTCAGAACTGGCTCCAGGAGTGGGGTGGGAGGGGCCGCTGCAGGCTCTGTCCTCGCTTAGCTACTTAGAGCCTGGCTCCCACACTGCCAACTGAGTGAGTGCTTTGCCAGGCTATGCTACAGAGCCTCCCTCTTGTAGGCATGCAAGTGCCCCACCAGCCCCGTCTTCCTTCCTGTTATCTCTGATTCACTGCTGCAGGCCCCTGAGGGTAGGGGTGGTAGAAGGAGTCCTGGGGCTCCAGGCCACCCCATGCTTCTGCGCCTCCCTCATTTGAACGCTCTCCTGTGACCACACAACCTTGCCCGTCCCAGTGACCCTGCTGACCCTGGCTGGGGAAGCTGAGGCGTGCGGCCTGGAGGGAGGGCCGGCTCTGCAGTGGGGCGCCCTCCGCGGGTGGGTGGCGTGGAGGGCCGGCTGACTGTCTGATGCTGCGCCCTCTGCTGCTTCTCTTTGCAGTAGGTGTCACCATGCTGCTGCCGTGCTCCGAGCAGGCCCTGAGCCAGCTGCTGGCCCGCAAGGAGGAGGAATGGCGAGCACTGCAGGCCCACCGAGCGCAGCTGCAGGAGGCGGCCCTCCATGACGCCCGGGCCCGGCTGGAGCAGGCGCAGGGCAAGCTGCAGCGCCTGCAGGAGGACTTCGTCTACAACCTGCAAGTGCTGGAGGAGCGCGATCGGGAGCTGGAGCGCTACGATGCCTTGTTCGCTGAGGCCAGGGCACGGGAGGAGGCCCGGCAGGCGGAGACCAGTGAGCTCAGGATCGAGGTGGCCAAGCTGAAGCAGGCGCTGGCCAGGGAGGCCAGGCATGCAGAAGAGCTGCAGCAGCAGCAGCAGCTGAAGTTGCAGGAGCATCGCCTGGAGCTGGAGCGTATCCACAGGTGAGCACCCTCCACAGGGAGCACCACCCCCTGTAGGTGGGCACCACCCTCCACAGGTGAGCCCTCTCCACAAGAGAGCACCCTCCATAGGTGAGCACCATCCGTAGGTGAGCGCCACCACCTGTAGGTGAGCACCATCACCGGTAGGTGAGCACCATCCATAGGTGAGCACCATCCACAGGTGAGCATCACCACCCGTAGATGCACACCTTCACCTGTAGGTGAGCGCCACTGTCCACCCTTGGGTGAGGGCCATCCATGAGTGAACATGTCAGGTGCTGAGGCCCCGTGTCCCCCTGCTCCTGGCAAGCTGTCCCCACACACCCACTCTCACGGTGGCTACTAAGACCTGTATTTTATTTTATTTTTTTTTGGCCGGTCATGGGGCCTGAACTCTGGGCTTGGGCCCTGTCCCTGTGCTCTTCAGCTCAAGGCCAGCACTCTACCGCTTGAGCCACAGCTCCACTTCCGGTTTTCTAGTGGTTTATGGGAGATAAGAGTCTCACAGATTTTCCTGCCCGGGCTGGTTTTGAACCGAGATCCTAAGATCTCAGCCTCCTGAGTAGCTAGGATTATAGGCGTGAGCCACCGGCGCCCGGCTTGTATTTTATTTTTTTGTTGGCCATGAGTCTTGAACTCAGGGCCTGGGCACTGTCCCTAAGCTCTTTTGCTCCTGGTGAGCGCCCTACCTCTCTGAGCCACAGCTCCACTTCTGGCTTTTTGGTTGTTAATTGGGGATAAGAGTCTTGTGGACTTCCCTGCCTAGGCTGACTTCAAACATGATCCCCAGATCCTCAGCCTCCTGAGTAGCGAGAATGACAGGTGTGAGCCACCAGTGCTTGGCTTACAGATTTATTATTTTAAGAAAATACATTTGAACTTATTACTTTAATGTGAAATGCACACTAATTTAAAAGAAAACAAGCTGATTTGGGCAAGCTGTAGGGTCCTGACACCTCTGGAACTCACTTCCACCTCATCTTCTACAACCATAGTGTTCAGAACTTGGGTAAAACAAGTTTGTTTTGTTTTTTGTGGTAGTCCAGGGGTTTAAACTCAGGGCCTGGGCACTGTCTCAGCTTTTATGCTCAGGTCTGGTGCTTTATCACTTGAGCCACAGCTCCTCTTCTGTTTTTGTTTTGCTTTGTTTTTGTTTTTTTGTTTTTTTATTTTTTGATAGATAATGGAAAATAAGAGTTTCAAGGTCTTCTCTGCCAGGACTAGCTTCAAGCTATGACCTCCGATCTCAGCCTCCTGAGTAGCTGGGATTACCAGCGTGAACCACTGGCACCCAGCATAATGAGACTGTGAGAAAGGCGTCCCTTAAAATCTTCCAGACCCCTCCTGTCCCTTGACTGCTGCTGTCTTTAAAGGTTTTTCCTTGACATACTCTCCTCATGGAAACAGCATTCCTTCAAATACAAAAGTCCTATGTTCTTGGGGCTGGGAAGGTGGCTCAGTGGTAGAGTGCTTGCCTTGCATGCATGAAGCCTTGGGTTCGATTCCTCAGCACCACATAAGCAAAAAGAAAAAAGCCGGAAGTGGCGCTGTGGCTCAAGTGGTAGAGCGCAAGCCTTGAGCTGAAGAGCTGAGGGACAGCGCCCAGGCCCAGAGTTCAGGCCCCATGACTGGACCCCCAAAAAAAAAAAAAAGTCCTATGTTCTCAATCTACAAAGCCACTGTAGGTCAGGCGACATGGCCGAGTGGACATCACTGAGAGGTCTGTATTGTCCTCTCCAGGACCCAAGTCGAGTCCACACGGTGTTGGAACCCTGGCTGGCATTCATTGTTCAGTGGCGGCGTGTGGGGCACACCGCGCTCTGCCCGTTTGCTCGGAAGGTCTTAGGGGTGTGGGCTCTCCGTGACAGCAGAGGTCCTTGTTCACAGGGGCTCCGTGTGGGTGGACAGGGCCGCTTTGAGGAGGGCACTGGTCCAGCAAGGTCCGGCTGCTTGTATCCCTGCACCGTCTCAGCGCCTGACCTGGTCATTGCAGTGCAGTGCCACTTTCCTGGGACTGGCAAAGGGCTGGAGTCCGGCTCCCTACCGGGGAGGAAGCATCTCTGTGGGCCACGTCCCACCCAGCAGCTCAGCACTTGGTACTGGTGCCCTCCCTGCCCACCCCCGTCCTGACTTGTTTTCTTCATGAATGTTTTGAGAATTACAGGTGATCTATGTTTTCTTGTGATGTGTGTCCTCTTCTTTTCTTCCAAATCTGTGTTCTTTTAGCCATGTTCAATGGTTTTTCAGGCCCACACTTTTTCCTTCCTTCCTGGGCCCTTTGTCCCCTGAGTCCCCAGGGCTCTGTTTGTTTATTTTCCGTCATTTTCTCCCTTCTCCAGATCAGGCAATTTCTATTATCTGTTTCATGTAACCAACTCTCTTCTCTGCCATCTTCATTCTGCCATTGAGCCCACCCAGTGTCTTTTTTGGTTAGTGTACATTCTGCTTTTCAGATTTCAACTGGCTCTTTGTTCTATGTTCTTTTTTCTTTGCTGACGTCTTCTGTGTTTTCCTAGGTTGTGTCTTCATGTCCGTGTTGTTTTGGTGCTGGCCTGTGGTGGCAGTGCACTGTGACACGGGGCTGAGTTGTGTTCTCCTGTGGGGTGGTGGCAGGCAGGTGTGACTGCGCAGCATCTGCACTGAGCCGGGACGCAGCTGCCCGTGGGAACGCGTGCGCAGTCCCCTGCAGCCAGCGTACCCTGCGGCGTGCGCTCAGCAAGGGTGTAGCAGCGCTGACCGCAGCGTCTCCTCACCACAGCGAGAAGAACGGGGAGCTTGACCAGCAGCGGGAGCAATGTGAGAACCTCAAGTGGAGGCTGGAGCGGAAGCTCAAGGAAATTGATGGTGAACTTGCTCTGCAGAGACAGGTAGGAGGCCTGTGGAGGATTTGGTGGGGAGGATGGCTTGCTGGTGTGACTTCCTGAGGGGGTTGGGAGGGAGACAGCTTTCTGGTGTGACTTCCTGTGGAGGTTGGGAGGGAGACAGCTTGCTGGTGTGACTTCCTGAGGAGGTTGGGAGGGACGGCTTGCTGGTGTGACCTCCTGAGGAGGTTGGGAGGGACGGCTTGCTGGTGTGACCTCCTGTGGAGGTTGGGAGGGACGGCTTGCTGGTGTGACTGCCTACGGAAGTGGGATGGTTGCTGGTGTGAGTTCCTGTGGAGGTCTGGGTGTGGAGGACAGGTTGCTGGTGTGAGTTCCTGTGGAGGTCTGGGTGTGGAGGACAGGTTGCTGGTGTGAGTTCCTGTGGAGGTCTGGGTGTGGAGGACAGGTTGCTGGTGTGAGTTCCTGTGGAGGTCTGGGTGTGGAGGACAGGTTGCTGGTGTGAGTTCCTGTGGAGGTCTGGGTGTGGAGGACAGGTTGCTGGTGTGAGTTCCTGTGGAGGTCTGGGTGTGGAGGACAGGTTGCTGGTGTGAGTTCCTGTGGAGGTCTGGGTGTGGAGGACAGGTTGCTGGTGTGAGTTCCTGTGGAGGTCTGGGTGTGGGAGACAGGTTGCTGGTGTGAGTTCCTGTGGTGGTTTGGGTGTGGAGGACAGGTTGCTGGTGTGAGTTCCTGTGGAGGTCTGGGTGTGGGAGACAGGTTGCTGGTGTGAGTTCCTGTGGAGGTCTGGGTGTGGGAGACAGGTTGCTGGTGTGAGTTCCTGTGGTTTGGGTGTGGAGGACAGGTTGCTGGTGTGAGTTCCTGTGGAGGTCTGGGTGTGGAGGACAGGTTGCTGGTGTGAGTTCCTGTGGAGGTCTGGGTGTGGGAGACAGGTTGCTGGTGTGAGTTCCTGTGGAGGTCTGGGTGTGGAGGACAGGTTGCTGGTGTGAGTTCCTGTGGAGGTCTGGGTGTGGAGGACAGGTTGCTGGTGTGAGTTCCTGTGGAGGTCTGGGTGTGGGAGACAGGTTGCTGGTGTGAGTTCCTGTGGTGGTTTGGGTGTGGAGGACAGGTTGCTGGTGTGAGTTCCTGTGGAGGTCTGGGTGTGGGAGACAGGTTGCTGGTGTGAGTTCCTGTGGAGGTCTGGGTGTGGGAGACAGGTTGCTGGTGTGAGTTCCTGTGGAGGTCTGGGTGTGGAGGACAGGTTGCTGGTGTGAGTTCCTGTGGAGGTCTGGGTGTGGAGGACAGGTTGCTGGTGTGAGTTCCTGTGGAGGTCTGGGTGTGGGAGACAGGTTGCTGGTGTGAGTTCCTGTGGAGGTTTGGGTGTGGAGGACAGGTTGCTGGTGTGAGTTCCTGTGGAGGTCTGGGTGTGGGAGACAGGTTGCTGGTGTGAGTTCCTGTGGAGGTCTGGGTGTGGAGGACAGGTTGCTGGTGTGAGTTCCTGTGGAGGTCTGGGTGTGGGAGACAGGTTGCTGTGTGAGTTCCTGTGGAGGTCTGGGTGTGGGAGACTGGTTGCTGGTGTGAGTTCCTGTGGTTTGGGTGGGGAGGACAGCTTGCTGGTGAGGGTTCTGGACATCACAGTAAACATGTGGAGAGTGGACTCTGCACTGTGGCTGTCCGCAGGGCAAGTGAGGCCAGGCCCTGGAGCCTGGGTGCCCAGACTCAGTGGGGTTGGGGTGTGTCATGTGGCCAGCAAGACTTGAGGGGCAGGCAGGGAATCAGGAAGGAAAGTGGGAGGGGGCGTAGGGAGGGGGAGGGCGGGGGAACTGAGCAGGGAGCAGCAGTGGGCTCCTTGCTGACACCTGGCTGACGCAAGCCTGCCACCTAGTGACACACAGGTGTGCCTGCCACCTAGTGACACACGGGTGTGCCTGCCACCTAGTGACACACGGGTGTGCCTGCCACCTAGTGACACACGGGTGTGCCTGCCACCTAGTGGCCAAACCTGAAGAACCTTCCCGTGGTATCCAGCAAAAAAACAAATGCCCATGGTTTTGTAGTGTGTGACCGTGATTTCTTTTTTTTTTTTTGGTCGGTCGTGGGGCCTGAACTCTGGGCCTGGGCGCTGTCCCTCAGCTCTTCAGCTCAAGGTTAGCACTCTACCACTTGAGCCACAGCACCACTTCTGGCTTTTTCTGCTTATGCAGTGCTGAGGAATCAAATCCAGGGCCTCATACATACAAGGCAAGCGCTCTACCACAGAGCCACCTTCCCAGCCCGTGACTATGATTTCTGTATGTTGACTCATACTTGTGTGATCCTGTTCTTCACCTTTGGCTTGAAGAGGATTAAGACAAGTGAAATATATGTTTTGTTGTACTTTCTTTTTTTTTTTTTTTTTGTCGGTCGTGGGGCTTGAACTCTGGGCCTGGGCGCTGTCCCTCAGCTCTTCAGCTCAAGGCGAGCGCTCTACCACTTGAGCTACAGTGCCACTTCTGGTTTTCTGGTGGTTTTTATTGGAGATAGGAGTCTCACGGTCTCTCCTGCCCGGGCTGGCTTTGAACCTCGATCCTCAGATCTCAGGCTCCTGAGTATCTAGGATTACAGGCGTGAGCCACCAGCGCCCGGCAACCTAATATTCTTTTATCTTTTTTTTTTTCCTTCGGAAGTGGGGCTTGAACTCTGAGCCTGGGCTCTGTCCCTCAGCTCTTCAGTTCAAGGTGAGCGCTCTACCACTTGAGCTACAGTGCCACTTCCTTTTGTTGTACTTTCTAAGCCAGAAAGAACAGTGCTCAGAACTGAAATACACAGCTGCAGGCACAGAGCTAGTCCTCCATCACCACACAGCCATGGGGGCTCAGGACGGGGCTCTATCTCAGCCCTGCCTTCAAGTTGCTGGGTCTGGTGATGGGAGCCGTCCCAGGGAGGGTGGCAGGTAGACGGGGCCCATGGGGTCCTCAGTGTGCCTGCCCCCGTGCAGGCTAAAAACAGGATGGGCACACACACAAGCCCCCCCCCCCCCCCCGTGTTCCCATGAATGCCTGGTGCGAAGTGCTGTAAAGAAATGAGGCTTGATTGAGTCACGATTCTGGTGGCTGTGGGATCCAAGAGGCACAGCACTGGCATCTGATGAGGACTGCTGCTGGTCACATCAGGGGTGCGGACCAGGCTGCATGCTGAAGGGCCTGCAATGGGACCTGAAACTAAGCATGGTGGGCAGCCCAGGCTGCTCTGGTTGCTGACCCAGCTCAGCCAGCGCCATGCCTGTGTGTCTCTCGGATCTCTGAGAGCTTTGTACCTTGCCACCTCGTGCAGGGACCCAGCCTCAGGCGGGAGGGCTCCGCTTTCAGGCCACAGCAGATAGCTCTAGTGCAGCAGCATGGAGGCTTTGCTGCTGTCTGCACCGTGCTCAGCCCACAGAGTGGAGCATCGCTCAGCCCCAAGGGGTCGCAGGGGCCGCTGCTGGGGCCTAGCTCAGTCCGCAGCCTCCACCCAGCTGCCGATGTGTGCGGTGTACCAGCCCCGCTGTCCTTCCCTCTTGTTCCAGGAGCTGCTGCTGGAGTTTGCGTCTGAAATGCAGAAGCGGGAACAGGAGTTCCGCCTCAAGGCTGATGACATGAGCAACGTGGTCCTTACCTGCGAGCTCAAGGTAATGGTCTCCCTGGGGGGGAGCAGAATCCCCCTTGCCGGTGGGCACTCCCTGTCTGCGTCAAGCTGCTCTGGGGCCTCAAGTCCGAGCTTGTGCAGATGGGGGTGGGGAGTGCGGGTGGGGTTGGGGAGACGGGGTGAAGTGCGGGCCCTGCTGCTGTGTCCAGCATGCTGCCCTCAACCAGGAGAGCTGCTGCCCTGCTTCCCCAGCCCAGGGCCTCCCAGAGCACCCCGGCCCCATGGTGGCTTGTTCCCTGTAAGGGCCTTGAAGTGGACTCATAGTGTCAGCCCCACATTAGAGCCTGGAGGGTCAGGGGCGTTGGGACTTGTGTGCAGCTGGCAGCATGAAGCCAGAGCTCCACCTGCCCTGTGCCGCCCAGCGGGAACGGACGCTGTGCCTGACCTGGGACTGTTGGGACGGGCTAAGCTTGGGCCGCAGCTGGGCGGGAGCACCCCTGCTTCAGGTGTGGGCTGGGAATGATGCCAGGTCTGCTCCTGGCTGGTCCTTCCTTAGCCCATCTCAGGCACCCCATCCTCCAAATCGTCAAGCAGAGGCTTAGGCGGGCAGCAGAGGTGGTTAGAATGGCTAGTGCCCAGGCCAGGCACCTCCCTAGTCCCCTGTGTGTGTGCTGATCAGCAGCCCTGACAGGCAGAGCAGGCCGCTGCTGTGCCCTGCTGTCCCTGGAGCCCCCTCCTCGCCAGGTCCTGTGCTGTCCCTAGCCCCTGAGATAGGGCCAGCTCGTGAGCCCGAACCCACCATGTTGGCCTCAAGGCTAGTGGGGCCCCACAGCCCTGCAAGGCCCTCTTGAGAGCCCTGAGCATTGCGGGCCAAGAGCCCTACGGTGGTCTGTGCGGCCTGGCGGCCCCACAGCGCGAGCCCCAGCGGTGCCCTGGCCACAGCGGCCTGTGCAGGCCTGTACACGTGGAGACCCTGGCAGAGGCAGCGGTGGCCGCGGGGCCAGCAGTGTTTCACAGAGGTTTTTCTAGAAAGTGCATGCAGACGGGATTTGGATCCAGTCGCTTAGCAGCAAGCCTCGCTCTTTATTTTCCTCTGTGGATCTGACTTTAATATTGAACAAAGAAACCAGTGGACTTGCCGGGCGCCTGTGGCTTACGCCTGTAGTCCTAGCTACTCAGGAGGCAGAGATCCGAGAATCACGGTTCTAAGCCAGCCAGCCGAGGCAAAGCAGTCCCCTTGAGACTCTTATCTCCAGTTAACCGCTCAAACACCGGAAGTGGTGCTGTGACTCATGTGGTAGAGCGGTAGCCTTGAGCACAAGGAGCCTGAGTCCAGGCCCTGAGTTCCAGCCCCACAACTGACCAAAAACAAAAAAAACTCCAGCGGACTCAAACTTGAACTGGTCTGTCTGAGGTGAGGGTGGACACACAGGCCCCCTGGTTTGGTGGGTGCAGAGGGCTTTCCGAGGACCCTGGGTCTCTGTGGACTGCCCACTGTGCAGGGAGGAAGGGTTTGTCCCTGCCTGTTTCCTGAAAGTGGACGTACCTGCTCTCCCAAGCCCGGTGAAATGGCAGTCTTCTCTCCAGCCCCTCAGCTTCAATCATGGCCTCATTCAAAGTTTTATTTTGTGCCACCTTTGGGGCTGGAACCCAGAGCCTGAACTCAGAAACTGTCCCTCAACTTTTCTACAGCCACACCTCCACGTCTAGCTTTTTGGTGTTTGATTGGAGATAAAGAGTCTCTGGAACTTTCTTGCCCTGGCTGACTTGGAACCAAGATCCTCAGATTTCAACATCTCGAGTAGCTAGGATTATAGATGCAAGCGGCTGGCGCACAGATGAGTTTACACTTTTTTTTGTACGTGTGGAATGTATGGCATTCCAATGCAGGCCACACACAGTGTGTGGCCGTCCACCATTCTGGGTGTGGGGATACTCGGCTCCTCAGGCTGTTGGCCACGCAATCCTGCACAGCTGTGGCCCCTCATACTTGTAAATCTTTCTCAGGTTAAGTTTCTGAACAAAGAGCTTGAGGCTCTGAAGGAAGCTGGAGTCCAGGCAGCGGAATGCTTGCAGCGGGCAGAGGTGACGAACGCTGAGTTAGAGAGCAGGCTGCAGAGCCAAACCTGGGAGCTCCGGGACCTGGAGGCCGTGAAGGATGCCCAGTATGCGGGTGGTCCCCATCCGGCCTGGGGCGGGGCCTTGCGGGGGCTTCCTGTGTCCCTTATCTGCTCTCCCCTTGACACGGCCTCTGTTTAGGATAAAGGAGTTAGAGGATAAGCTTCACTCTGTGCACCTGGCCAGGAAAAAAGAAGAGGACGCATTTAAGAGAAAGTGAGTATTTCTGTTTGCATTGCTGGCCAGGCCAGCTTGCCAATGCCTCCTGGTCCCTGGAACCCAGGGCGTGTGACAGGTGGCTGGGCCGGTGATGCAGCCATGGATCCACAATGGTACTCTGTGCTCCATGGAGATGTTGAGCTTTCAGTGACTGAAAACTCTGTGTGTGTGTGTGTGTGTGTGTGTGTGTGTGTGTGTGTGTGCGCACATGCACCTGTGTGTGTGTGTTTGTTTGGTCTTGGGCCTTGAACTCAGGGCCTGGGCACAGACTCTGAACTTTTTGCTCCAGGTTATCACTCTGCTACTTGGCCACAGTTCCACTTGTGGCTTTTTGGTGGTTAATTGGAGATAAGTCTCATGGACTTTCCTGCTTGGTTTGGCTTTGAACCACAGCCCTCAGAGCTCAACCTGCTGAGGAGCTAGGATCACAAGTGTGAGCCACTGGCACCAGCAAATGTTTTTTTACCAGTATGGTGTTTGTCAGTAGAAGTGTTGCTGAGGCAAACAGCACATTGGGGTTAAATTAAAATGCTTTGCTTGAGCCAGGCACCATGGCTCACACCTGTCATCCCAGCTACTCAGGAGGCTGAGATCTGAGGATCACGGTTCAAAGTCTGCCTGGGCAGGAAAGTCTGTGAGACTCTTATCTCCAATAAACCACCAGAAAACTGGAAGTGGCACTTGGCTCAAGTGGTAGAGTGCTAGCCTTAAGCTGAAGAGCTGAGGAACAGCGCCCAGGCCCAGAGTTCAAGCCCCATAACCAAAAAAAACCCACTTTGCTTGTCAAGAGTTTTGCTCTGTGTGTGTGTGTGTGTGTGTGTGTGTGTGTGTGTGTGTGTGTGTGTGTGTGAGTGATGTCCACGAACTTGCAAATTTAGTATTTTGGTGTAGGAAACATGTTTAACCAATCTCCTACGTGGCAGAGCCCAGCCCTCAGGGCAGCCGCCTCTGCCTGTCTCACGTCAAGCATATGTGAAGTGCTTGAAGGAATATCATTAAAACTGAGTCATCAAAAGTCTCTTGCAAAGTGAATCATGAAAAGCAGGCCAAAAGGAGTTTAGTGCCCAGAGCATGCTGGCTCTGCGTCCTGGCCTGTGGTGCGGTGTGTGTAGTTCCTGCTGTGGGTGCCTGTGTCACGGGGACTGAGCGTCCTCGGGATGGTATCTGAGGAAGGACCGGCCCTGCTTCCTGAGGGCATGATGGGCAAATGCGCAGCAGCCCCACGAGGGCAGAGGTACAGCGGCCTCCAGAACTGCCCCTGCCCCACCAGGGCAGCATGGTGTGAGGAGGTGCGCACCGCAGGAGACCCCGGCCCCGAGAGGGAGCTGCTGAAAGGCTCTTGTGTGTTGCAGGCACGAGGCGCTTGACCGCCTGGTCAGGGAGAAGGACACGGCGCTGGTGTCGGTGAAGGGGACCCGCCTGGAGCAGCAGCAGGCGCACGAGGCCAGGGTGAAGCAGCTGCAGGCCCAGTGTGAGAGCCTCGAGGGGCAGCTGCACAGGGTAGAGCAGGCCCAGGCCACTGTGCTCCAGGAAAAGGAAGCCATCATCAGCAGGTGAGTTTGAAGCCCTGCCTGGACCAGGGCCTCGGCCCCGGCTCCCCTCCCTGGGAGGCCAGAGAAGCCCAGGGTCTGGATTCTAGGCATATACCTCATGCTTGGCCCTTTCTGATTTTGTTGTTGTTGTTGTTTGCAGTCCTGGGGCTTGAACTCAGGGCCTGGGCACTGTGCCTGAGCTGCTTTTGCTCAAGGCTAGTATTCTACCACTTGAGCCACAGCACCACTTCTGGGTTTTTCTGTGTATGTGGTTCTGAGGAATGGAACCCAGGGCTTCCTGGATGCTAGGTGAGCACTCTACCACCGAGCCACCTTCCCAGCCCTTGTTTTGTCTTTTGTCAGTTGGCAGTAGGGCTTGAACTCAGGGCCTGGGCACTAAGTTGTTTTTTCTCAAGGCTAGTGTTCTACCACTTTGAGCCAAAGCCCCGCTTCCAGTTTTTGAGTGGTTAATTGGAGATGAGAACCCACAGGAACTTTTCCACCCCTGAAGTGTTCAAACTGCAGTCTCCAGCTCTTAGCCTCCTGAGTACTGGGATTACAGGCGTGAGCCACTGGTGCCAGGCTGCTCTCTGTTGTTCAAACCAGGCCACAGCTCCTGAGCAGCCACAGCCACTTATGCCTCACGTCTAGAGAGAGCCATACAAGAACGCCATTGTAACGACACAGGAGGAGGTGAGGTGTTAGACTTCCCTCCTGATTCCTAGAGAAGTGTGTTCACCAGAGACGCCGGGAGTAGCTGGTGTTTGTTCACCAGCTGGCTTTTCCTTTACCAAAGGGAGGGATTTCTGATTGTTTGCTGTTTGTCTTTGTTTTTCACAGAGAATTTTCAGCCAGATTGCATTTCTGCTTCGTGGGGAAATAGCTTTGAGCCAGAGAGTGGTACAGTCTAGGTTATTTGGGACAATCTCGTCAGGCTGCACATGCACTTCTGCTGTGTGGTCCGAGAGGCTCAGTGGCACCGGCCACACTGGGGCTCTCGGATTCCTGCTGGCTCATGGCTGCGGTCCATCCCCAGCAATGCGCATGCAGTTGAGGGCCTGTGTGCCTTCCTGTGGAATATTAAACTAAGTGTTGCTCTTAGCTGTGTTTGTTTGGCGGTGCTGGGGTTTGACTCAGAGGCTTCCTTCCACTTGCTTGATTGGAGCTCTACCACTCAATCCATACCTCCAGTGCTACTTTTTGCTAGCTATTTTGGAGATGGAATCTAGCCAGCTTTTCTGCCTGGGCCAACCTCAAACCAAGATCCTTCAGATCTCAGTTTTATGCATAGCCAGGATTACAGGCATGAGTTACCAGTGTCTGGCTTGACTTAAAAAAAAAAAAAAAAAAAGTGGGGCTGGGAATGCCTATCATGCATGAAGCACTGGGTTCTGCTCCTTAGTACCACATAACAGAAAAAGCTGGAAGTGGCGCTGTGGCTCAAGTGGTAGAGTGTTAGCCTTGAGCAAAAGATGCTCAGGGACAGTTGAAGCCCCAGGACTGGCAAAAAAAAAAAGCGCTACGTCTGGGCCTTAGACTCAGGGTATGCCTCTGAGCTAGTGCTCTAGTGCTTGAGCCACAGCTCCCCACATCTGGCTTTTTAGTGATTAATTAGAGAGAAAAGTCTCTTGGACTTTCCTACCTGGACTGGCTTTGAACTGATCCTCGTATCTCAGTCTCCTGAATAGGTAGGATTACAGGTTCGTGAGACACCAGCATCCAGTGGCTCAATTTTTAGTGTCTGTCCATAAGTCCTTTTCGCTGGTTGAGGCTCATTACTACACAGACAAGGTGTTATTCTAGCAATAGAAAATGGATGTGAGGTGGGTGTGGTGTGGCAGGTTTAATTCCAGCACTGAGGAGGGTGGATTGAGAGCTCCAAGCCAGCTAGGGCTATAAAGCAAGACACTGACTATAAAGGAAGAAAGGAAAAGCAGACTTGCAGGTTCTCCGCATGGCTTTCCTTCGACCTCTGGAGACACAGTTCTTCTGATGTCATTGTTAAGCGCGTAAGTCAGCATTAAGCCATAGACTCAGTTTTAGCAGCTTTCCATGTTTTGGTGGGTTTGGAGTTACAGGATTAAGACCAAAGCATAGGACTTTCCCCCTGACGTCTCTGCCCTGTGTCTTCATGGGGAGAGCACGGCAGCCAGGCCTGGACTGAGCCCAGGCCAGTACTGAGGAGGTGGTGGGGTGTGGAGACCCCAGTAGCCTGGACGTTTCCATGCCAGCACTGAATGCAGGCTGGTGCTGGGGCTCGTGGTCAGAGGCAGTGCACCTAGAGCTGGGGCGTGGTCTGTCCCCCAGTACAGCCCAGACGGCTGTGTCTCATGGTATTGGCATGGTGGCTTTTCTCATCCTGTACAGGACCAGGCTTGGGGTACACCTCCCACGCTGTCCAGCAGGCCCCCAGCTGACAGCTCAGGGCGCTGACCAGAGGTCTGTGTGTAGGGGTATGATGGCCGCTGCCTCCAGGAGGGAGGCGGTGGGCATCTGGGATGGAAGCAGATTTGGCAGGCCCTGGTCAGCCGTCCTACTGGGGTCAGCCCTGCCTGCCACAGTGTTGTGAGTGCTTTCTGCGGCTGAGGACTTTGTCCAGTGTTTGGTGATCTCCCAGCAGCCAAACACAGCTGTTAAGCTCCTGACTCCTCTGCACAGCCTCACTTTGAATTTGAGAATGTGTGTCTGGGCCGCGCTGGGCAGGACTGGTGCAGGCTCTGGGCTGGACACGGAACTGGCCGTTCCCTACCGCCTTCATTAGCACCGAAGCTTCAGCTCTCCTGTGGCATCTCCTTGAGAGCTAGGCACGTGTGCCTAGCTCTCACATGCGCGCGCACACACACACACATTCAGGGTGCTGTGTAGGAGAGCTAGGCACATGTCTGCACACACATTTGGGGTGCTGTGTAGGAGAGCTAGGCGCACACACATTTGGGGTGCTGTGTAGGAGAGCTAGGCGCGTGTGTGCACACACATTCGGGGTGTTATGTAGGAGAGCTAGGTGCGTGTGTGCACACATTCGGGGTGTTATGTAGGAGAGCTAGGTGCGTGTGTGCACACATTCGGGGTGCTGTGTAGGAGAGCTAGGTGCGTGTGTGCACACATTCGGGGTGTTATGTAGGAGAGCGAGGCGTGTGTGTGCACACATTCAGGGTGCTGTGTAGGAGAGCGAGGCATGTGTGTGCACACACATTCGGGGTGCTGTATAGGAGAGCTAGGCGTGCGTGTGCACACACATTTGGGGTGCTGTATAGGAGAGCTAGGCATGCACACGTGCATACACATTCGAGGTGTTATATAGGAGAGCTAGGCACACGTGTGCATGTACACATTCGGGGTGCTGTATAGGAGAGCTAGGCATGTGTGTGCATGCACACATTTGGGGTGTTATGTAGGAGAGCTAGGCGTGCGTGTGCACACATTCAGGGTGCTGTGTAGGAGAGCTAGGCGTGCGTGTGCACACATTCGGGGTGCTGTATAGGAGAGCTAGGCACACATGTGCACACACATTCGGGGTGCTGTATAGGAGAGCTAGGCACACGTGTGCACACACACGTTTGGAGTGCTGTGTAGGAGTGTGAGGGCGAGAACCACAGGCACCCACATGGTTACTCTGCAGACTCTGTGAGGATGTGGCCGCTCTGGAAGCCGGCCGGGATGCCCAGATGGCACAGATGGCCAAGGATGTGATCTCCAGAGACCTGCAGGTCCAGACGCTGCAGGAAGGGGAAGAGAAGCTCAAGGCCCAGCTGGCCAGATGCCAGCAGGACATAGACAGGTAATGTTCCCATGGCACCATTTCTGCTGAGCACCTTTGCGGACAGAACGGTCTAGGATGTGAACTGAACAAACCAAGTCCTGGCCGTGCTCTCCCTGGGGAGGGAGAGCCCATGAGAAAGCCACAGCAACAGCGGCAGAGGTGAGGAGGGTGGAGGAGGGCAGGGTGGGGCGTGCTTGGAGGCCTTGAGAGGAGAAGCCTCCAGGTAATGACAACTGCAGGGGAGCTCTTCATCCTGCTCCGGCCGAGAGCTGTTGGTCTTTTCCTTGCCTGGGCATATGCTTGATTGAGACCATCCTGTTCCAGTGATGTATCCGAGTTACTGAGGAGTGTGTTTGTGGAGGAGTGTGTCAGATACAACGAAGTGCCTGTTTCACTATGCATGTGCTGCGTCTTGTTAGGCCCAGGCTCTTGCCCTGTCCTCCACCACTCCAGACATCTCTACCCTGCAGGCCCCAGGACTACCGCGTGCCTTGGCGGGAAGCCATGTGAACAGAGGACTGAGCTATTTCCTGTCCTCTCTCTTTGGCTTAACATCAGCACTTTGAGGGCAGAGCCCGCCCAGGTAGCCAGGTCATGTCCCTCCATCGTTCAGGAGCATCTGCTTGAGTCTACAGCGGCGTACTCATTCACCTGGGTGGATGGTAGTGTTTTTGTCTCCTGTGTGCTCATTGCTCTACCAACTACAGAGACAAAAGTATGGAAATCTCCAGCATTAACGCTCTAGTGTTTCACTATCCACATTCTGAAGTTATTTACTTGTTTAGGTGTTCTTCCTGGGGCTTTTCTTTTCCTGTCGCTGAGCTTTTTTGCTCAAGGGTAGTGTTCCACCACTGGAGCCACAGTGCCACTTCCTGAAGTTCTCATTTAATTGCAAGTCCATTCTGCATGGTGATGGCTTCCTGACACCTTTTATAGAGGAAACAGCCCTCTTTGTCCCTTGTGACAGTCTATCTAGAACCTGCCCGTCCCGTGGGTGCCCTGTCTGAACTCATTTCTGTGCCCACGTTCCGGTCTAGCTTTTGCTGTCTCCATATTGATCAGGGCTGGGTTTGGTGGTAGAGGTTGCTGCGTTACCCCTTCTCTTCCTGCACACCGGGTCTTCTGTTTCCTGAGGTGTCCGCTCTCCTTTAGCTGTATTTGGTGGTCCTCCACGTCTGCCTCTCCTCCCTTGTAGCCTCTGGGGTATCCCGCCTCCCCTTCCCGAGGTGGGGCCTCAGGGAGGCTGCCTCTGCAGGTACAAGCAGCAGCTGACACTGGCCCTGGAGCGGGAGCGGAGCCTGGAGCGGGAGCAGGTGCAGCTGGGCCTGGACTGGCAGCGCCGCTGTGATGACGTCGAGCGAGACCAGATCCAGAAGTCAGAGGCTCTGATACGAGGCCTGACGGAAGCCAGGGATCAGGTACGCATGTGCCACGGGAGCCAGCTCTCCACCAGGGGCAGAGGGACAGGGCTGGCACACAGGACGAGCCGCTGGCCTCTTCAGCCCGGAAACCACAAAGCCACCCTGGCCATGACGCCCAGCCACATGCGTCATAATAAGGGGGCGCGGGGCTGCACCAGGCACAGTAATCAAATATACCAGGCCTGTCTGCCAGCTAGTACTGGGGACTCCTGCACCGACCACTGCTGTACTGGTGACCGACCCCTGAACTGGTGACCCTTGTACTGATGACCTCTGCACCAGTGACCCTGACCTCTGACCCTGTACTGATGACCCCTGTACCAGTGACCCCTGAACCCATGACCCCTGTACCGGTGACCCCTGCACCATTGACCCCTGCACTGATTACCTCTGCAACAGTGACCCCTGCACTGGTGACCCCTGCACCGGTGACCCCTGCACCGGTGACCCCTGCACTGGTGACCCCTGCACCAGTGACCCTGCACTGGTGACCCTGCACCGACGCCCTACATGATGACGACCCCTGCACAGTTGACCCATCTCTGTACATGGCCCAGCAGGGCAATGGGGCACAGACTGAGTCGGAGGAGCTCCGCTGCCCGCGCAGCCGAGGCCCCAGCACCCAGGCGCCTGGGCACCGGTCCCCGTGGCTCCTCAGCTGCTCCTGCTGTCCATTTCCTAAGCAGGACCAGCACTCAGCGTGCTCCTGATCCACAGCCGGCATTGTTGCAGGTGGCTGCTAAGCTCCAGGAGGCTGAGCGGGCTCTATGTGAACAGGAGCTGGTGCTGAGGGCTGTGGCCCTGGAACGAGACCAGGCTGTGGAGGCTTTGCAGGGGAACGGGCCCCACCCTGGACCAGAGATGCAGGTGAACACCCCATCCCCTGGGGCCCGCAAGGCCCCCACACCTTCCTCCTCAGCTGCAGGGGAAGCAGCGCATGTCAGAACTGGAGTCCATGCTGGCCACGGGAGAGAGTGGAGAGCATAAGGAGTTCCGTGGACACAGGCTGCCCCTCGGAAGCTCTTAAAACCTCACATCCAGAGAGGACTCAGCACGTGCTCAGCAAGAGCAACACCTGGGATTTGATCTCCAGCGCTGAAATGAATCCAGAATCTGAGCTGGGCACTGGCGACTCACACCTGTCATCCTAGTGACACAGCAGGCTGAGATCTGAGGATAGTGGTTTGGGCAGGAGACTCATCTCCAGTGGACCACCAACAGGCTGGAGGCAGAGCTGTGGCTCAAGTGGTAGAGCACTAGTCCACAGCGCCTAATCTCAGGGAGAGCACCCCAGCTCTGAAGCTCCAGGACAAGCACAAAAATAAAATCCTAAATCTGACGTGGCACTAGATACTAATGTAGAATCCCATGAGGTCTTCTTCAGACTCTCAGGCCTGGCCATGCTGTGCTTGCCAGTGGTGGTCGTGGCCAGTAGCTGTCCAGTATGTGGCCTCTGTCATCCTCCTCCTGAGAGCACGCGTCTGTCGGCCCAGGCTGCGACTGGTGAGGCCCTGGGAACCAGCAGGGCTGTGTCCTGACTTGAGGTGGCCAGTAGGTGTCTGACTCCCGTGGAAGTTTTTGAGGAACCACAGGGGTCCTTCGGCCCCGCAGCCCCCCCGCTGTGCTGTTGTCCAGATGCCAGGCTGACTAGGGTTGCCATTTGCATTGCCCTTACGGGAGCCATCTCCCCTTTACAGAAAGTCACTGTTCCGTTATCTGGGGCTAGAGAGACAGAAGGCGGCTCTGGGTGGTGCTCCCCTGCCTCCCAGGCTGCCTTTCCCCTGCTTCAGCATGATGGGGTACCCTGGGGTCCCGTGTGAGTCTGCACTGTGCCTGCAGAGTGCCCTGCAGTCCCCTTGTTGGGGCACAGCTGGGTCCTTGGGCCTGCTGAGCAGGGAGTGGCAGGAGTCAGGTCCCAGGAGACCTCGCAGCCCTGGCAGGAGTGAGCCAGGAGTAGGACAGTTGCTCTTCTTGAGGGCCTAAGGAAGCAGTGGGTGCCAGGTCCTCTCTCCGTTCAGTCTTGGGGCTCACAGCAGGTGCTGGCTCTTTCCTGCTGTCAGATTGCCAGCTGTGTTGTCTGGTTCCTGTCAGGTAGCTGCTTTGGAGCCAACTGATTGTGGTTTTTATTTTGTGCCAGTTGTGGGGCTTGAACTCAGGGCCTGGGCGCTGTCCCTGAGCTCTTTTGCTCAAGGCTAGTGCTCCACCACTTGAGCCACAGTGCCATTTCCGGTTTTCTGGTGGTTTATTGGAGATAAGAGTTTGACGGACTATCCTGCTGGGATGGCTTTGAACTGCAATCCTCAGACCTCAGCCTCCTGAGTAGCTAGGATGACAGGTGTGAGCCACCGGCACCCAGCCACATTGTTTTTATCCACTCATCTATTGCAGGGCATCTGGGCTGTTTCTGTAACTTGGCTATTGTGTCCAGTGCATTTTTTTTTGTTGAAATGTATATAAAATGAACCTAAATATACCTGGAGCATTTTCCAGGGTGGTCAGCACTAAGCATGGTGCAGACTCTCCACGCTTCCTCTCTACACTGGCTGTCTGTCTGTGATGACAGGTACCTGTGCGGCAGCCCGATGGAGAAATGGGCAGAATCTCTCCCTCCGCCGAGGTCCAGCAGCTGCGGGAGCAGAACATGAGTCTGCGGAATGCTGTGTCGCAGATGAGGAGGGAGATGGAAACGCTGAGCAGCCAGATCCCTTCCGCAGCCCAGTTAGGAGAGAGCCCAGAGGCAAACCCACCGGACTCCGGTGGGGAAGGAGACACAGCCCGGCCAGGTAAGGGAAGGAGGGAGAGAGAAGGCGGGGAGGAGGAAGGAGAGAAGGGGGAGGGGGAGGGTGGAGAAGGGAAGGAGGGGGGAGAAGACACCCTGGAGAGGACTGCTGGACCTGCTTTGGAGTCTTAGAAACTAATTCCCGGGGCTGGGGTTTGTGTTGCTTGAGGTGTCGCCCTAAGTCAAACTTAGGGTCTGACCCACTGTCTTTTTTGTTGTTGTTAGTCCTGGGGCTTGAACTCAGGGCCTGGGCACTGTTCCTAAACAGTGGCCACTTCTGGTTTTCTGGTGGTTAGTTGGAGATAAGAGTCTCATGGACTTTCCTGCCTGGGCTGGCTTTGAACCCATATGTTCATATCTCAGCCTCCTGAGTAGGTAGGATTATATGTGTGTGTTTATATGTGTGCTTTTATGTGTGTTTCTGTGTGTGTGTATGTATACATACATATATGTTATTATTATTATTCTGTAGTTCATGGGGCTTGAACTCCGGGGCCTAGGCACTGCCCCTGAGCTCTTTTTGCTCAAGGCTAGCACTCTTCCACTTCAAGTCACAGCAACGTTTCCCCAGTCTTATATTGAAAAATGTTTTCAGGGATGGGTGCAGGTGGCTCATGCCTGTAATCCTAGCTACTCAGGAAGCTGAAATCGAGGATCACAGTTTAAAGCTAACCCGGGCAGGAAAGTCTGTGAGACTCTTATCTCAAAAAAAATAGTCAGAAAAAGTGGTACTGGGCTCAAGAAGTAGAGCGATAGCCTTGAGCACAGAGAGGTTCAATGACAGAGCTCAGGTCCTGAGTTCAAGCCCCAGGACTGACAAGAAAAAAAAAAGTTTTGCTCAGGGATGTGGAAGGCAAAGTACGGCAGAGGCCGCCAGCCAGGCCCGCAGCGGGTGCATGTGCTGCATGGAGCTGCTTGGCTGCCCCTCCCCCAGCACTAGGGAAGGCTTCCCAAAGACCTGGTGGGGGAGCGGTCCAGGCGGGGGAGGGGGGGAGGGGGAGAGGGGGACAGGAGTGGCAGGAACGTGTGCTGGGTTACCCCCTGTTTTGCAGATTATATTCTGGCTCTTGAAGCAGAAATTCAAAGCCTGCAGCACAAATTTCAAAGCCTGGAGGAGCAGCTGGTCAGCGTCCCAGGGCCTTCCGAGTGGTCGCTGGGCCCTGCGGCCCCGGACGCAGACCCCCAGGCCCTCGCAGAGCCCGTAGGTGAGGACCTCCCACTGTACGTTGCACAGGCAGCTCGGGTTCCCCGTGAGCCACCCCGCCCCTCACCCAGAGCCTCTCATAATGGAACCGCGTGACACGGAGCGTCTGTTGACTGCTTTGCCCACGCTGTGCTTCACTCCACGGTGCCTGTGCCCACATGCCCTCCAGCACTACAGGCCCCGGCCGGGCTGGCCGTCCGCACATCCCCTCTTCCTGGTTTCCCGTGGGGCTGGACTTGCTCTCCTGGGAGCCTTCATCTTGGACCCAGGCTCTGGGGCTGCAGCACCCTGCAGCCCTCGCTGAGGCCGGGCTTGGAGGCTGCTCTGCTGCTTCTACTCGGCTTCTGCCCAGCCTCGGGCTCTTGGTGGACAGCCCCTCTCAGGGGTGGTGCGGGATCCAGGGACGGTGTCCTCCCTGGTCCTATGGCCCCAGGGAGCCAGCTTCCCTCTGGCTTGCTTTATCGTGTGGATTATTCCCTTTGATGTGTGCCCCCCCCCCCAGTAGCCCTCCCCCCTAGCGCAGTGAGGCCGGCTTGCTCTTTCCAGAACCCACATGGCGTGTGCTTCAGCTTTCAGCTGTGGTCAGTGAGCAAAGTGGGGTGTGCACACGCTGTCTGAGGTGAAAGCCAGCGAGGGGCTGCGCCCTGGTGTGGGGGGCTGGCGCCGGGCCCGCCCTCTCCTCTCTCCACGCGTTCTCTCAGCCTCACGTCAGACTGAAGCTAGTTTTTCCTGAAATAAGTGGTACGATTCAACTTTGAAACTACCAGGGCCTGGTGTTTCCTTTGTGGGGAGGTTTTAAACTGTCAGTTCAGTTTTATTCATAGCTACAGAACTGACTGTACGGATTTTCTTTTGAGATAAATTATACAAAGAAGGGCTGGGAAGGTGGCTCAGTGGTAGAGCGCTTGCCTTGCATGCATGAGGCCTTGGGTTCCATTCCTTAGCACCACATAAGCAAAAAGAAAAAAGCCGAAAGTGGTGAGTGTGGCTCAAGTGGTAGAGCGCTAGCCTTGAGCTGAAGAGCTGAGGGACAGCGCCCAGGCCCAGAGTTCAGGCCCCACGACTGGACCCCAAAAAAAAAAATTATACAAAGAAATTTTTCTTCATTTCACTTTCAAACTTCTGGCATAAGCTGTGATTCCAGATACTCAGGAGGAAGAGGCAAGAGCTCAAGATTTCAAGTTCAGGGCTGGGAAGGTGGCTCAGTGGTAGAGCACTTGCCTTGCATGCCTGAGGCCCTGGGTTCGATTCCTCAGCACCACATAAGCAAAAAGAAAAAAGCTGGAAGTGTTGCTGTGGCTCAAGTGGTAGAGTGCTAGCCTTGAGCTGAAGAGCTGAGGGACAGCGCCCAGGCCCAGAGTTCAGGCCCCACAACCGGACCCAAAAAAAAAAAAGTTCAAGTTCAGCCTGCCAAATGCTCATAAGACTCATCTCAGGGCTAGGAAGGTGGCTCAGGGGTAGAGTGCTGCTTGCCTTGCATACATGAGGCCCTGGGTTCAATTCCTCAGCACCACATAAGCAGAAAAAGCTGGAAGTGGTGCTATGGCTCAAATGGTAGAGCACTTGCCTTGTGCTGAAGAGCTGAGGGACAGCACCCAGGCCCAGAGTTCAGGTCCCACGACCAACCAAAAAAACAAAAAAAAAAGACTCAAAGAATGAAAACCAGGTGCTAGTGTAATCCTAGCTCCCAGGAGGCTGAGATCTGAGGATCACAGTTTGAGACCAGCCCAGCCAGAGATGTCTGTGACACTTTTTTTTTTTTGTCGGTTGTGGGTCTTGAACTCTGGGCTTGTCCCTGTGCTCTTCAGCTCAAGGTGAGCACTCTACAGCTTGAGCCACAGTGCTACTTCCAGTTTTCTAGTGGTTAATTGGAGATAAGAGTCTCACGGAGTTTCCTGCCCAGGCTGGCTTTGAACTGCCATCCTCAGATCTCAGCCTCCTGAGTTCTAGGGTTATAGGTATGAGCACCCGGCGCCCGGCTTATAACACTCGTATCTTTTAATTTACCACCAGAAAACTGGAAGTGGTGCTGTGGCTCAAGTGGTAGAGCATTCACCTTGAGCTGAAGAGCTGAGGGACAGCACCCAGGCCCAGAGTTCAAGCCCCATGACCAACAACAACAACAAAAAAGTGGTAGAGCACTAGCCTTGAGCGAAAGAGCTCAAGGACAGCCTCCAAACCCTGTGTTCAAACCCCACAACTGAAGGGAAAAAAAAAAAAGCCAATGCCAATGGTTCCTTCTGCAATCCTAGCTTACTAAGGAGTCTGAGATCTGAGGAATGAGCTTTGAAACCAGTGCAGGCAAGCAGATCCACAGTACTCTCATCTTCATGCTCAAGTGGTAGAGTACCAGTCGTGAGCAGACGAGCTTGAGGCCCTGCCACCCACACACACAGAGCACAGGCGACCCTGATCACAGCACGTGGGAGGCTGAAACAGGAGGATCACTCATGAATTAGAGGCCAATCTGAGTGCAAAGACCCTGTCTCAAAAGAAAAAAAAAAAAAAAAGAGGAAAGTGATGGAGAGCGTGAGATTGTTTGGAATATATCATAAATACGTGGGACTGTAACAGTGAAATCCCCTGGTGTAAGTAATGGAGGCTCAGAAGAGGAAAAGTGGAAAGAAAGATAAAGTCAATACTAGACATTGAGAAAATGACAACATAGTATATTAGAGGATGGTTGACTTTTTGAAAAGGCTGTAAATAAACAGCTCCCTCTTCCTCACTCTCTCTCTTTTAAGACTTAAGAAAAATGAATAGGAGAACAGAAGTGAATTACCAGACTAATGCATGGAGAAGCATTCTGTAAAAGTTTTGAAAAGCATAGGGAGGGGCTGGGAAGGTGGCTCAGTGGTAGAGCGCTTGCCTAGCATGCATGAAGCCCTGGGTTCCATTCCTCAGCACCACATACACAGAAAAAGCTGGAAGTGGTGCTGTGGCTCAAGTGGTAGAACACTTTGCTTGAGCAAAAGAAGCCCAGGGGCAGCGCCTAGGCCCTGAATTCAAGCCCCAGGAGTGGCAAAAAAAAAAAAAAAAACATAGGGTGAGTGGAAGGTGAAATTCCAGCTGTTCAGGATGCTCAGGAGGAGGATGGAGAGTTCCCAGCTAGCTTGGGGGAATAACAAGTCCATGTCTTTTTCTGTGTGGGTCCTAGAGCTTGAGCTCAGGGTCTGGAGCTGTCCCTGAGCTTTTGCGCTCAAGGCTAGTGCTCTACCACTTGAGCCCAGCTCCACTTCTGGCTTTTTGGTAGCTGATCAGAAGTCTCATGGGCTTTCCTGCCTGGACTGGCTTCCAACCACGATCCTCAGATCTTAGCCTCCTGAGTAGCTAGGATTGCAGGTGAGAGCCTCTGGCACCCAGCAGGTGTATGTCTTAAAAACAAGCAATCTCACAGGATAAGCAGCTTTTTCGTTTTTTTCTTAGGTAGTACTGGGGTGTGAACTCAGGGCCCATGCCTACTTGGTAGGCTCTCTGCCGCTTAGCCTTGCTCCCAGCCCTTTTGCACTGGTTGTTTTGAGGTCGGATCTTGCTCACAGTACGCTGTTTGACATTGTTGGCATGAAGATACACACACCATCCTCAGCTTCCTGAGATAGTCTTTAGAATTTTTGTTTGCAGCATGGTCCAGAACCATGAGCCTCTCGAGCTCTACCCTCCTGAGATCCCTCCAGGTGCCCCGCTGGCTAAACATTCCTAAGCCCTGGGAGTAACATCCACACTCTTCCATGTAAGCCAGGCCCCTGACCTTCCATTTGCACTTTTTTGTGTCTATACTAGTGCATGAACTCACATCTGCTCTCCCACATGGATTACACTCGCATATGACACACCTCTGATCTTGGGAGGGACCCAAGTTCCTCGGCCCCAGGAGGCACGTGCTCCTGGTGGGCCAGGCCATGGCCGGGTGGGTCTCTGTGTCCCCGTGGGCCAGGCCAGTGCTGAGTGGGCCTTTGCTGGGCGGGCCTCTGTGTCACCGTGGGCCAGGCCGTGGCCAGGCGGGCCTCTGTGTCACTGTGGGTCAGGCTGTGGCCAGGCAGGCCTCTGTGTCCCCGTGGGCCAGACCAGTGCTGGGCAGGCCTCAGTGGGGTCTCACTGCTCTTCTCCAGGCCCATCTTAGTGGGTAATGCGCAGGCTCACAGGGTGCTCTTTTCCCAGGAGCAGCTCCCTGGGCCTCCCAGGCCGGCACTGGATTGGCGCTGAGGAAACTCAGAGACAGGGTACATCTCTTGGACTTGCTGGTGATACAGCTCAAAAAGAAGGTGAGATTGGCCCACTGAGGCCCAGGTAGTGTGGGTCTTCCAACCAGAGAGCTGTCCTGGGGAAGGGGGGCAGGGCACACACTGGAGCCCTGTGTGCTGTTTGTGACCCTTGGATGATCACTAGACCTCTGTTGGCTGTGTCCTCTGAGCCCAGGGCTCTGCACCCTAGCTGGTCCATCTCACCACCCACAGGACATGTGCAGGAGCACTGACCCGCAGTGCCACAGAGCAAGGGGTCCTGGCAGATGGCGTCTGCGCCTGGTGTTTCTCACTTTGTGCAGTGTTCTCACATCCATCTCGTTGTACCCTGTGTAGGTGCTTAGTTCCTTTCATGGCCACGTAACTTCTAACTAAGTGGCAGGTCTGCATGCTGTGTGTGCGTTGGGCTGTGCGTTGCTGCCACCTGGTGGCTCTTGTGAGGCCTGCTCAGAATATGCGTGTGTTCAGTTTGGGGGTGCGTCCCCAGTAGCAGATCATCACATTTTAGGGAGATTCTGTGTTTAAGTCTGAGGAGCTATTGGACTGTTTCCAGCAGCGGCACTGCTTTACATTCCTCCTGGCAGTGTGTGAAAGTTCAGACTCCCACATCTTCCCAACTCCAGCTACTTTCTTTTTTATTTATCTTTTTATTCAAAGATGGTGGTGAGACTGCATATGATACTGACTGATGTATGTGTTTGTGTGTGTGTGTTTATGTGTGTGTGCACATGTGCGCACTAGTCCTGGGGTTTGAACTTGGGTCTGGGTGCTGTTCCTGAACATTTTTTTTTTTTGCCCAAAGCTAGCACTATACCACTTGAGCCATAGCTCCACTTCCGGGTTTTTTGGTGAGTAATTGAAGACTCGTTCAGACTTTTCTGCCCAGACTGGTTTTGAACAATCCTCAGGTCTCAGCCTCCTGAATAGTTATTATGATTTCAGGTGTGAGCCACCGATGCCTGTCTCTGCTGACTGATTTTGATTCCCATTTTCCATTGACAAATGGTGGTCTGCATCTTTCTGTGGCTACTTGGCCATCTGTATAACTACATTTGCAGAAATGTCTATTTAGATACTCGGCCTGTTCTCTCTTTGTTTTGCAAAAGTCCTTTCTGTATTCTGAATATGAATATAAGTAAGTCCTCTATCAGATACAAGACTTGCTGAATTTTCTGTTCTACGATTTGTGTTTTCACACTCTCAGTCATCACAAATGACTTTGATTTTTTCGGGGTGTTGAGGTTTGAACTCAGAGTCTTCGTTTTCTCACCTTGCTTGTCTGGCTGGCACTCAGCACTTGAACCACACCTGGTTATTTAGAGATGGAGTCTAGTGGATTTTTTTTTTTCTTTTTTGTCGGTTGTGGGGCTTGAACTCTGGGTCTGGGCGCTGTCCCTGTGCTCTTCAGCTCAAGGCAAGTAAGTGCTCTACTACTTGAGCCACAGCGCCACTTCTGGTTTTCTGAGTGGTTTATTGGAGATAAGAGTCTCACAGACTTCCCTGCTTGGGCTGGCTTTGAACTGCAATCATTAGATCTCAGCCTCCTGAGTAGCTAGGACTACAGGCGTGAGCCACCAGCTCCCGGAGGACTCTACTGGATTTGTATGCTGGTATCAAACTATGGGGGCTGGGAATGTGGCTTAGTGGTAGAGTGCTTGCCTAGCACGCATGAAGCCCTGGCTTCGATTCCTCAGTACCACATACACAGGAAGAAAAAAGTGAATAAATAAAAGAAATAAAAGAGAAAAAATTATTTAAAAAACAAAACTATGATCCTCTGGATCTCAGCTTCCTGAATACTAGTATTACAGGCATGAGAACCAGTGTCTGGCTCAATTTTTTTGGTGTGTATTGTGCTAGGGCTTGAACTCAGGGCCTGGGCATTGCCCTTTTTTTACTTAAAGCTACATGAACTACAGCTCTACTTCTAGTTTTTTTTTTTGGTCATGAAGCTTGAACAGTAGGCCTGGATACTAAACCTCAGCTCTTCAGTTCAAAGCAAGCGCTCTACCACTTGAGCCACAGCGCCACTTCTGGTTTTCTAGTGGTTTATTGGAGATAAGAGTCTCATGGACTTTCCTGCCCAGGCTGGCTTTCAGCCATGATCCTCAGATCTCAACCTCCTGAGTAGCTAGGATGATAGGTGTGAGACACTGGCACCCGGCTTCTGGCTTTTTTAAAAAAACCCTTTTTTATTACCTTTACATAGTTACACAAAGGATTTTTCCTTTCAACAAAGCAGTTTGTGATTGCATCTTAATATTATTCCCTCAGTTTTCTTAATTTTGTAGGCTAGGTACTGAATGTCATGACTGCATTCTCCCCTTCTCTGTTTAGCTGCCCCCTCCTTTTGATCCCATCCCCACCTTTCCAGGACTCGTTTCCTAGTATTTATTTCGTTGGAATATGAGTTAGCCTTTCTAAGTTAGTGCCATTTGAGTTCTCCTTGAATCTACCATATTTCAGATAATACACGAATGTACATGGGTTCCACCTTGTACTTCCAGCTTTTTGGTGATTAATTGGAGATCAGAGTCTTGTGAACTTTCCTTCCTGCGTTGTGAACTTTCCTTCCTCCTGTGAGATCTTCCTGTGGAGTCTGTGTCTTCTCCCAAGGAAGCATCACTCCAAAGCTGAGACTGTCTGACTAGCCCGTGCACTGCCGGGAGCAGGTGGCTGGCTGCCCGGAGGACTGCGGGCTTCCCTGCCGTCCTTTTGCTGATGAGTTTGTCACCCTCAGGACCCCCGGCAGGAGAAGCGGGCTCACTCTCAGGAGCCAGGGCAGGAAGGACAGAGGCTGTGTGGGGGTTGAGGGTGTCCTCCCCCGTCCCCCCCTCCAGCACAGGGTCACAGGGCTCCCTATCCCTGGAGAGGAGCTGGGTGTGGCCCCGGCGTCTGGCCTGGGCTCCCATAGCCCCTGCCCACCCACCGTCCTTCCTGTGGCCTATGACTTCTCCTGAATCCTCTTTCTCCCTCCCTCCGCCTGCCTGCCACCCCGTGCTGGTGTTTGAACTCGGGGTGCACACACAGCAACTAGACAGGCGCTCCTGTGAGCCAGGACCCCAACCCCATTCTGCTTTACATGTGTTTTGGAGGCCTCAGCCTGGGACCCTCGTACTGGGGTGACAGGCATGGGCCACCAAGCCTGACTTGTTGGTTGAGAGGACTTTTGCCTGGGCTGACCTTGAACTGTGATCTTTCTGACCTCTACCTCCCAAGGAGCTGAATTTTCAGGTGTCCTCCCGGGGCCCTGCCTCCTGCAGGCTACTGTGCTCTGGGCTGCCCGCGGCCCTCTGGCCGCCTCTGCTGTCACCCTGCTGCCCTTTCCTTCTGTTCCCCTACCCCCCCAATTGCCTGCACTTTCTAGAGGAAGTTGTCCCTCACTGGGCCAGGACTTTGGGGGAGGGCCGTGACATAGGGCCACCCATGCCTCCCAGCCAGCCTGGGCCCGGGGTGTGGACGGTATAGGAGAGGGCCGGGGGGCTGGTTCACGCATGTCCACACCCAGCCCTGCCCTGCCCTGCCCTGCCCATGCGCACTGTCCTCACACTGTTCCAACATGGCCCCACAGGTGCGGCAGACACCCCTGGAGCCGGAGCTGCTATGTGCCGTGGACCAGGTACAGCTGGAGGTACAGGAGCTGCAGACGCAGGTGGCCGAGCTGGAGCAGCATCTCAGCACGGCTGGGCAGAGAGGCAGGCGCCCTGCCCAGCAGCGCCTCACAGTGGTGAGTTCCCGCCCACGGCCTGGTCTCTCCACAGGGCCTGTGGGCCCTGCGCTGCCCCCTTCCACGCAGCCTGCAGAGAGGTCCAGGCCGAGCCCAGAGCCTGGGAGCCCACCACCTTCTCTCCTAGACGAGGGGGGTCAGGAGAGAGGAGGCCAGGAGGCCTCCTGGGGGCCCTGGGGGCAGGTGGGGCTAGTCCTCAGGAACACACAAACCCTTCCCAGCCCTGTCCCCTGAGGCCAAGCCTCTTGCTCAGAGACTGGCTCCCAATTCCCTGCTTTGTTCTTGGGGCAAGGACTCCTTAGCCAGTGCTCTCCCATGGGGGAGCGGGGGTAGTGGCACTCTCCCACATGTGGGGAGGGCTGGTGCCTGCTAGAAGGGTCTCTGCTTCCAAATCTAGACCGGAAAGGAGTGACAGAGGACAAAGAGCATGAGCCCATGCCTGGCCCAGCAAGTGGGCTGGTGAGGGCGTGGGTATGGTGGGGGGTGGTGGCGGGGGGGGGGGGGAAGAGGGGGGGCATGGGCATCCTGTCCAGTGGGTGGGGGATGGGGGGTGTGGTCACCCCATCCTGTGTCTCCCCACATCCAGGTTCCAGGATGGGGAAGAGCGTCTCTCCATGGCTCCACTGCTGTGTCAGAGCACTCTGGATAGGAGCGAGTCTCTCCAGCCTGAGCCCGAGCCCCTCTAGCCGCAGGCTGAGGTGTCTGGGATCTGGACAGGCAGAGCAGGAAGGGCTTGGCCAGGGCCTGAGTGGGGCCACATGGGGCCCGGACGCTCCCGCGTGGAGTGCAGTGCAGTGTCAGGCAGGAAGGAGGGGGGCAGCGTGGAGGCTGCAGGCTGTCTGGTGGGGTCTGGCACGGTGCCTGCGGCCAACGTTGCAGCCATCGGTCACTCAAGCTCCTCCTGCCCGGCAAAGAGAATGGAGGTACACTCCTCTCTGGTGCTGGGCGCTGGCCCTGGTGCTGGCTGTTGCACTGGCTCCCGCACAGAGGGAGAGGGGAGGGCTGCTGCAGGCATGGCAGCACAGCCACAGTTGGCCCCTAGGCCGTAAGGAAGAGGGCTTGAGTTTGAGAGTAGCCTGGGCTACATAGTAAGACCTGTCTCAAAAAACAGCTGGGAGGGGCTGGGAAGGTGGCTCAGTGGTAGAGCGCTTGCCTTGCATGCTCAAGGCCCTGGGTTCGATTCCTCAGCACCACATAAGCAAAAAGAAAAAAGCCGGAAGTGGCGCTGTGGCTCAAGTGGTAGAGCGCTAGCCTTGAGCTGAAGAACTGAGGGACAGCGCCCAGGCCCAGAGTTCAGGCCCCACGACCGGACCCAAAAAAAAAAAAAAAAAAAGCTGGGAGCCAGTAGCTCACGCCTGTCATCCTAGCTATCCAGGAGGCTGAGATCTGAGGGTTGTGGTTCGAAGCCAGCCTGGGCAGGAAAGTCTGTGAGACTCTTATCTCCAACAGACTACTCAGAAAAGGCCTGAAGAGGCTGTGGCTCAAGTGGCGGAGCACTTGAGTGAAAACAAGCTCAAGGGGCTTGCCCAGGCCCCATGTTCAAGCCCCACAACCAGCAACAACAGAACAATGGCTGGAAGCCTCTGGAGCCCCTAAGCTGGTGCAGCCACGTGGGGACAGTGCTGGACACCTGGAGGGGAGGAGACGGGCCAAAGCAGTGTCCTCACGGGGGAGGAGCAGTGCCAGACCGGGGTGCACACCCTGCCCAGCTGTGCCCAGTGGATACCAGTGACAGACGTTAGCCACAGACTCAGGAGCTGCGGGGTTGGTGAGGGGCGGGTGCTGGGCTGGGCTGGCGCGGGTGGGTGGTGGCGTAGCTCACACAGTGCCACCTGGCACATCTCTGGTGGGGGCGGGGGGCGGGCACCAAGCCCTGAGTTCAAGCCCCATGACCAGAAAAAATAAAATTTTACCTGAGGTGGAGCCGGGTGGCCTGCAGGCACGCACTGCAGCCTGGGCCTGGGGGCGGAGACCGGGCCTCTGCATTGCAGGCACTGGACAGGGAGGACTGCATCCCCCAGCAGGAGTCCACGTTAGGGGAGTTTGTCCAAACCTCTAGGTGTCAAGGTTGGCCAGGTCAGTTCAAACTGGTTCTTTGCTGACTCACACTAACCACATACTCAGAAAAGCCGGAGTCTCAGCCGGGTGCCGGTGGCTCCTACCTGTCATCCTAGCTACTGAGGAGGCTGAGATCTGAGGATCCTGGTTCAAAGCCAGCCTGGGCAGGAAAGGCCATGAGACTCTTTTTTTTTTTTCCAGGGCTGAGGACCGAGCCCAGGGCCTTGCACGCCGGGCGGGCGGGCGGGCGGGCGGGCGGGCGGGCGGGCGCGCCCTTCCGCTGGGCTAAACCCCCCTGCCCAGCCATGAGACTCTTATCTCCAATAAACCACTCAGGAAAACAGAAGTAGAGCTCTGGCTCAATTGATAGAGCAGTAGCCTGGAGCTGAAGAGCTGAGGGACAGCTCCCAGGCCCAGAGTTCAAGCCCCACGACCAACCAAAAAAAGAAGAAAAGACAGAGTCTCCCTGGGCATGGAGCCAGGCCTGCCCCAAGAGTCACAGCTCCCGCCCACCCGCGCTGCCCGGCCCGACCTGAGGCGTCCCGGGGCTGCCCAGTCTCTGATGGAAGCTCCCTTCCCACCCTGCCCTCCCATGACCTCCCTTCTCTTGTCTTAGCCTCTGCCCGCCCCGCTCCTCAGGACAGTGAGGGACTGCAGAGAGGGCACAGGCGCCTGCCAGTCGCAGGGAAGACCAGGAAGCTGGCAGGGACAGCGTGTGCCAGTCATCCCAGGGCATGGGGAGGGGGCCAGAGTACGGGAGCGGCCTGTTTTCTCGTGGGTGTGAGGAGCGGTCAGGCTGCTCTCTGGAGGGTGTGAGGAAGCGGTTGGGCTGCTGTCTGGAGGGTGTGAGGAGCGGTTGGGCTGCTGTCTGGAGGGTGTGAGGAGCGGTCGGGCTGCTCTCTCACATATGTGAGGATCGGTTGGGCTGTTCTCTCACAGGTGTGAGGAAGCGGTTGGGCTGCTCTCTGGAGGGTGTGAGGAGCAGTCGGGCTGCTCTCTCACATATGTGAGGAGTGGTCAGGCTGTTCTCTGGCAGGTGTGAGGAGCAGGTTGTTCTCTGGCAGGTGTGAGGAGCAGGTTCTCTGGTGGGTGTGAGGAGCGGTCAGACTGTTCTCTGGCAGGTGTGAGGAGCAGGTTGTTCTCTGGCAGGTGTGAGGAGCAGGTTGTTCTCTGGCAGGTGTGAGGAGCAGTCAGACTGTTCTCTGGTGGGTGTGAGGAGCGGTCAGACTGTTCTCTGGCAGGTGTGAGGAGCAGGTTGTTCTCTGGCAGGTGTGAGGAGCAGGTTCTCTGGTGGGTGTGAGGAGCGGTCAGACTGTTCTCTGGCAGGTGTGAGGAGCAGGTTGTTCTCTGGCAGGTGTGAGGAGCAGGTTGTTCTCTGGCAGGTGTGAGGAGCAGTCAGACTGTTCTCTGGTGGGTGTGAGGAGCAGTCAGACTGTTCTCTGGCAGGTGTGAGGAGCGGTCAGACTGTTCTCTGGCAGGTGTGAGGAGCGGTCAGACTGTTCTCTGGCAGGTGTGAGGAGCAGGTTGTTCTCTGATGGGTGTGAGGAGCGGTCAGACTGTTCTCTGGCAGGTGTGAGGAGCAGGTTGTTCTCTGGCAGGTGTGAGGAGCAAGTTGTTCTCTGGCAGGTTTGAGGAGCAGGCTGTTCTCTGGCAGGTGTGAGGAGCAGTCAGACTGTTTTCTGGCAGGTGTGAGGAGCAGTCAGACTGTTTTCTGGCAGGTGTGAGGAGCGGTCAGACTGTTCTCTGGCAGGTGTGAGGAGCAGGTTGTTCCCTAGCAGGTGTGAGGAGCGGTCAGACTGTTCTCTGGCAGGTGTGAGGAGTGGTCAGACTGTTCTCTGGCAGGTGTGAGGAGCAGGTTGTTCTCTGGCAGGTGTGAGGAGCGGTCAGACTGTTCTCTGGCAGGTGTGAGGAGCAGTCAGACTGTTCTCTGGCAGGTGTGAGGAGCAGGTTGTTCTCTGGCGGGTGTGAGGAGCAGGTTGTTCTCTGGCAGGTGTGAGGAGCAGGTTGTTCTCTGGCAGGTGTGAGGAGCGGTCAGACTGTTCTCTGGCGGGTGTGAGGAGCAGGTTGTTCTCTGGCGGGTGTGAGGAGCAGTCAGACTGTTCTCTGGCAGGTGTGAGGAGTGGTCAGACTGTTCTCTGGCAGGTGTGAGGAGCAGGTTGTTCTCTGGCAGGTGTGAGGAGCGGTCAGACTGTTCTCTGGCAGGTGTGAGGAACAGTCAGACTGTTCTCTGGCAGGTGTGAGGAGCAGGTTGTTCTCTGGCGGGTGTGAGGAGCAGGTTGTTCTCTGGCAGGTGTGAGGAGCAGGTTGTTCTCTGGCAGGTGTGAGGAGCGGTCAGACTGTTCTCTGGCGGGTGTGAGGAGCAGGTTGTTCTCTGACGCGTGTGAGGAGCAGTCAGACTGTTCTCTCACAGGTGTGAGGAACTGTCAGGTTGTTCTCTTGGTGTGAGGAGCAGTCAGACTGTCAGAGCCTGGACCTCACCAATGTCTCCTGTTCCCTGCCTTCCTCCCGGACCCCTCTCATGTATGACTGCACTTGTGCACAGTTGTGGAGTCTGAATTCAGAGTAGGTTGAGTGAGGACTGCTTGTGGAGGCTCACACTAGGCCTGTGGCTCCCAGGTGAGCTGTGTTCCTCAGCTGCCTCTGCCTCCTCATAGTGGAGAAGGAGGTGAGCCTGCGGGCAGCAGGGGTGAGTGAGACTAGCCAACACAAGCTGCAGGGCAAGGGCAGAGAGCAAGGAGTGGGCTCAGTGCAGTCCCCAAGCTGTCTGGGGTTTAGGGACTGGAGCCAGAGCTGGAGCTGGGGTGGAGCTGGAGCTGGGCTGGGGTGGAGCTGGAGCTGGAGCTGGGGTGGAGCTGAGCTGGAGCTGGGGTGGAGCTGGGCTGGGGTGGAGCTGGAGCTGGGCTGGGGTGGAGCTGGGGTGGGGTGGAGCTGGGGTGGAGCTGGAGCTGGGCTGGGGTGGAGCTGGGCTGGGGTGGAGCTGAGCTGGAGCTGGGGTGGAGCTGGGCTGGGGTGGAGCTGAGCTGGAGCTGGGGTGGAGCTGGAGCTGGGTTGGGGTGGAGCTGGGCTGGAGCTGGGGTGGAGCTGGGCTGGGGTGGAGCTGGGGTGGAGCTGGGCTGGGGTGGAGCTGGGCTGGAGCTGGGGTGGAGCTGGGCTGGGGTGGAGCTGGAGCTGGAGCTGGGGTGGAGCTGAGCTGGGGTGGGTTGGAGCTGGAGCTGGAGCTGGGGTGGAGCTGGAGCTGGGTTGGGGTGGAGCTGGGCTGGAGCTGGGGTGGAGCTGGGCTGGGGTGGAGCTGGAGCTGGGGTGGGGTGGAGCTGGGCTGGGGTGGAGCTGGGCTGGGGTGGAGCTGGGCTGGGGTGGAGCTGGGCTGGAGCTGGGGTGGAGCTGGAGCTGAGCTGGAGCTGGGGTGGAGCTGGGCTGGGGTGGAGCTGGGCTGAGGTGGAGCTGGAGTGGAGCTGGGCTGGGGTGGAGCTGGGGTGGAGCTGGGCTGGGGTGGAGCTGGGCTGGGGTGGAGCTGGGCTGGGGTGGAGCTGGGGTGGAGCTGGGCTGGGGTGGAGCTGGGGTGGGGTGGAGCTGGGGTGGAGCTGGAGCTGGGCTGGGGTGGAGCTGGAGCTGGGGTGGAGCTGGAGCTGGGCTGGGGTGGAGCTGGAGCTGGGGTGGAGCTGGGGTGGAGCTGGGCTGGGGTGGAGCTGGGGTGGAGCTGGAGCTGGGGTGGAGCTGGAGCTGGGCTGGGGTGGAGATGAGCTGGAGCTGGGCTGGGGTGGAGCTGGAGCTGGGGTGGAGCTGGGGTGGAGCTGGGCTGGGGTGGAGCTGGGGTGGAGCTGGAGCTGGGGTGGAGCTGGAGCTGGGCTGGGGTGGAGCTGGGCTGGGGTGGAGCTGGGGTGGAGCTGGAGCTGGGCTGGGGTGGAGATGAGCTGGAGCTGGGCTGGGGTGGAGCTGGGCTGGGGTGGAGCTGGGCTGGGGTGGAGCTGGGCTGGGGTGGAGCTGGAGCTGGGCTGGGGTGGAGCTGGGCTGGGGTGGAGCTGGGCTGGGGTGGAGCTGGAGCTGGGGTGGAGCTGGGCTGGTGTGGAGCTGGGCTGGGGTGGAGCTGGGGTGGAGCTGGGCTGGGGTGGAGCTGGAGCTGGGGTGGGGGTGGAGCTGAGCTAGGGTGGAGCTGGGCTGGGGTGGAGCTGGGGTGGAGCTGGAGCTGGGGTGGAGCTGGAGCTGGGGTGGGGCTGGGGTGGAGCTGGGCTGGGCTGGAGCTGGAGCTGGGGTGGAGCTGGAGCTGGGGTGGAGCTGGGCTGGGGTGGAGCTGGAGCTGGGGTGGGGCTGGGGTGGAGCTGGGCTGGGCTGGAGCTGGAGCTGGGGTGGAGCTGGAGCTGGGGTGGAGCTGGGCTGGGGTGGAGCTGGGCTGGGGTGGAGCTGGGGTGGAGCTGGAGCTGGGCTGGGGTGGAGCTGAGCTGGAGCTGGGCTGGGGTGGAGCTGGGCTGGGGTGGAGCTGGAGCTGGGGTGGAGCTGGGCTGGGCTGGAGCTGGAGCTGGGGTGGAGCTGGAGCTGGGGTGGAGCTGGGCTGGGGTGGAGCTGGGCTGGGGTGGAGCTGGAGCTGGGGTGGAGCTGGGGTGGAGCTGGGCTGGGGTGGAGCTGGGGTGGAGCTGGAGCTGGGCTGGGGTAGAGCTGAGCTGGAGCTGGGCTGGGGTGGAGCTGGGCTGGGGTGGAGCTGGAGCTGGGGTGGAGCTGGGCTGGGGTGGAGCTGGAGCTGGGGTGGGGGTGGAGCTGAGCTGGGGTGGAGCTGGGCTGGGGTGGAGCTGGGGTGGAGCTGGGGTGGAGCTGGAGCTGGGGTGGAGCTGGAGCTGGGGTGGGGCTGGGGTGGAGCTGGGCTGGGGTGGAGCTGGAGCTGGGGTGGAGCTGGAGCTGGGGTGGAGCTGGAGCTGGGGTGGAGCTGGGCTGGGGTGGAGCTGGAGCTGGGGTGGAGCTGAGCTGGGGTGGAGCTGAGCTGGGGTGGAGCTGGAGATGAGCTGGAGCTGGGCTGGGCTGGAGCTGGAGCTGGGGTGGAGCTGGGCTGGGGTGGAGCTGGGCTGGGGTGGAGCTGGAGCTGGGCTGGGGTGGAGCAGGAGCTGGAGCTGGGGTGGAGCTTAGCTGGAGCTGGGGTGGAGCTGGGCTGGGGTGGAGCTGAGCTGGGGTGGAGCTGGGCTGGGGTGGAGCTGAGCTGGGGTGGAGCTGGGCTGGGGTGGAGCTGGAGCTGGGCTGGGGTGGAGCTGGGCTGGGGTGGAGCTGGAGCTGGAGCTGGGGTGGAGCTGGGGTGGAGCTGGGCTGGGGTGGAGCTGGAGCTGGGCTGGGGTTGAGCTGGGGTGGAGCTGGAGCTGGGGTGTAGCTGGAGCTGGACCTGGGGTGGAACTGGGCTGGGGTGGAGCTGGAGCTGGAACTGGGGTGGAGCTGGGCTGGGGTGGAGCTGGAGCTGGGGTGGAGCTGGAGCTGGAGCTGGGGTGGAGCTGAGCTGGAGCTGGGGTGGAACTGGAGCTGGAGCTGGGGTGGAGCTGGAGCTGGGGTGGGCTGGAGCTGGGCTGGAGCTGGAGCTGGAGCTGGGGTGGAGCTGGAGCTAGGCTAGAGGTGGAGCTGGGGTGGAGCTGGAGCTGGGGTGGAGCTGGAGCTAGGCTGGAGGTGGAGCTGGGGTGGAGCTGGAGCTAGGCTGGAGGTGGAGCTGGGGTGGAGCTGGAACTGGGGTGGAGCTGGAGCTAGGCTGGAGCTGGAGCTGGGCTGGAGCTGGAGCTGGAGCTGGGGTGGAGCTGGAGCTAGGCTGGAGGTGGAGCTGTGGTGGGGTAGAGCTGGAGTTGGGCTGGAGCGGAGCTGGGCTGGAGCTGGGCTGGAGCTGAGGCAAGGGCTCTCTTTGCTCATGGGAGCGGGGCCCCTTGGGGAGCCCTGTGCTGAGTGAGTTCTCGTGGTCTCTGCATGAAAGGCACAAAGGGCAAGCCTCCAGTGGGCAGGACAGGGTTGGACTGGGGAAGAGAAGGGGGCCTCCTCTCACAGAGGCGGTTGCGGGTCCTGGCCAGCAGGAACAGGCCAAGAACAAGGACGGCAGCCCTAGGTTGGGGGCCTGGGGCCTGGCTTCCCATTTCTGGAAGGAGGAGGGCCCTGGACGGATCCCCGTGCCCGCACACCCCCGGTCCTGGCCTGCCCGTCCTCTGGAAGAGGCGGGTGGATGGCAGTGTGGCTTCAGGGTGGGCAGCGTGGCCGGTCTCCCTCCTGGGCTCTTCCTGACTGCCTCGTGCTTTCCGCTCACAGGGCCTGGAGAGCACTGAGGACCAAGGGCAGCTCCCCGGGCACCCCCAGCTAGGAGCACCGCCACCACAGCCACCCCACCTGCAGCGGAAACTGCAGGAAGCAACCAGAAGAATCCTCCGCCTCCACCTAGAGAAGGAGCAGCTCATTGAGATGGGGAACCGGTTGCGAGCTGAGCTGGGCCAGGCCAAAGGTGAGTCCTGGGGCTGCCTGAGGGAGGGCGGTGGTGCCCCAGCAGGTCAGTGCCACCCCACCCACCCCCGGCCTGCAGGCTCCCATGGGACACACCAGAAAGACTAGCAGAGGCGGAGGTTCCCAGGAGGGCGGCCAAGGCCAGGTGGCGGTCAGTGCTGGGTACTGGGCCCCCCCCCCCCCCGGCTTCTGCATGGCAGCCAGCCCCAGGAGCCTTGGGCTGCACCCGCAGGTCAGGAAGTTGGGCTTGGCCGACTTCCTAGGAAAGCAAGAGACACCGAGTCCCACAGCAGCTGGGAGAAGCCAGGGTCTGGCGGGGTCCACACATAGCTGGGGGGACCTATGCCCAGGCTCCCCAGTGAGGCCGGCCCATTGTGGGCGTTGAGGTGGCGGGCACTGTCACGCGGGGTCTGGATGCGCCCCCTGTGTTTTCTCTGGCACCAGCCCCAGGCCTGGCCTTGTCCAGCCAGGTGATAGCCGTGTGTCTGCTGTCAGATAGTGTGTCTGCTGTCTGGGATGACTGGCTGGTCTCTGAGGAGCGTCACCGCCCAAGGGCGGGCTGTGGCCTGAGGGCAGGCGGCGCTGGGAACCCGGGGCACCTCTGAGGCTGAGTGTGGCCAAGCATCTCCTGGAGCCCCCATGCCAGGCTCTTCAGGGAAAGGAAAGGCTGGGCTGTGCCTGCCAGGAGCTGAAGAGGGGGAGACGGGTTCCCTCAGCCCCTGCGAGCGATTGGGAAGCAGAGCCTTCCTAACTCCAGACGACGTCCCAGGTCAAGGGGCTTGCAGTGAGTAGCTTCAGTGCCAGGATTTATACTCAGGGACCTGATCTTGCCAGGCGGGCATTCTACCACTTGCTATATGCCTCCAGCTCGTTGGCTCTGGTTTTGCTTTGTTCTGTTTCAGCAGTGGAGATTGACTCTGAGAGTCTTGGGCTTGCTGGGGAGGCACTTTACCACGTGGGCTATGCCCCCAGGTCCGCTGGTTATTTTGACAGTCTTGCCTTTGGCCCTGGCCGGACTGGATCTCTGTCCTGTGTGTGTTCTGCTGCAGCTTGTGTGACCAGTACATGCCACCAAGCCTAGCCTTGCCTGTTGAGCTGGAGTCTCACAGACATTCTCCCTGGTCTGGCCTGAGGCTCACCCCCCCCCACACACACACACATCTGGGCCTGCACCACAACCACC